ACTCAACTTCATTAACACTTTAAGGCTTTTTTCATTTTTAACACTAGGTTACTTCTCCTTCAAATTAATTTCTGGAAGATACCCCTGAAACATCCTCATTAAGAATATGTGAATGAAGTCCTTAGAGCAGGTAAAAATCCTCAGTCAGGTCCTCCTAGCAGGACCTGGGTCCCCGGTGACTGCTTGCTGCACTGATTCGGCTGTTATGGGGGCAGTCGCTGGGGGTGGCAGGCTCAACTAAGAACAATGATGTGCTACTGACCGGGTTTTTGCCAGGCTGAAACAAGGAGAGACACACACCATTGGCAGAGCAGGACTAGGAGGAGACAGGCTAAGCAGGAGTCTAACATTTTTGCTACGCAAAATTCATTCATTCATGCAGTGGCAGGAGGCCAGAGGAGGGGTTACTGGGAAAAGGAGCAATCAAGTGTGGAGTTTAAAGGATAGATAAAAGTAATGTAAGTCCAAGTCTCAAGGGCCATCATCCAATGGAAAAGGAGTATCTGAGCAGGACTGACCAGTTTGGCACCTGCCAGTACACTGTACGTGTGCATCTCAGGTCAGAGGGAAGGCATGTGCCATGTGTGATGGGCAAGGGCTCAGAGTGTCATTCAAAACCAGCCGAGTACAAACTCTGCAGACAAGGAGGGCTTACGGCCTCCCTGGGCAATTCTATACGGTGACAAAGCAGCCTTGCAAAACAGAACACAGTTCCAAAACTGTCTAGAGCTATACAATCTAATTGAACAATCAAATTCCACACCGACAAAAACAAAACAAAACTCAATCTCTGGCTAATAGAATTTGGTAAGCAGCCAGGATTCATTCAAAGAAGGAATACTTTTTGGAAAACTTTATTCCCACTGGACTTGAATGAACCACGAAGCAAGAGCAAGTTTTTCATTGTAAGGATGACTATGTGATATGCCAACCAAAGGTAATAATAGGAGGAATATCAAGCACTCATTATTTATAAATATCACTTTCTTCCCTTCTGCTTCCCAAAGCCAACATTCCTCATCAATTCTGCTTCACAGAACCATATAATAGCCCAATTAGGTAGCTAAAACATAGGTTAACAAAAATAGTAAACAACCATACTTTGAAGGTATAAAATATTTTCACATGCAACATCATCAAATTTAATTTCACAAATACAATTATTACCAATTTGTAGATAAGGAAAGTTAAGATATTCTAAGTTTAGAGAGATTCCTTTAATATCAAGTGGCAGAGCTATAATCCAAGTTACTCTAATTCCAAGCCCAGAGTTCTTTCCCTTAGAAAAAAAGCTGCCCCAGTGAAACCATATACCTCAGAGTTAGAGTGGGAAAGATCACACCAACCTTTCCCATTATCAGTAAGCAAGTCAGCATGGTACGTGGGTAGTGAGAGTATGCAGGTGTTGGAAGTTAGGGTGCTACAGAAGCTCTACACATTCTTTTACTGAAAGCACTATATACTGCCACAGATTAATAGGGGATTTGGGGTGAGGTAACTGAAGAGGAAAAAAATACTGACCTTTTTTTTAAAAATTTGGTTAAAAGAAGTGGTAGCAGCAATGGTCACACTCTGGATTGTGTCTGTGTGGAAAAGGGTGATGCCATCTTAAACAGCTACAGAAGACACACACACACACACAGAGACACACACACACATGTATCCTCCCCATAACCTCCTACCAGCTAAGACTAAACCAACCCCCACTTCATATGGTCAAATACCTCAGCTTCTCTCGGGACTGTGTGTACAAAGCACACAAGATGTTTCTACCACCTGCTTTTGCCATGAATGACTGCCCAATAAAATAAGCACTAATGATTAACTTTTGCTCCCTGGAAGTCACTGAAGAAGAAAAAGATATTCCCTGGCTAGCCTTTGCATACAGAGCCCTGACTTTTCTTAATCTCCCCCAAAGAAGCTTTAAAATGATTTGCCATTATGAGTTAGTCTTGGAGCTAACATATATGCATGACACTGAAGAGGTCAGTTCCTGAGTCGAAATGTTTACTAATCACATGGATATTTTGGTTCAAAACTCTCCCTGAAAATCTCTGTTTCCAACTAGCCTTTGCTTTTGAAACACCTGAAATATGAATAGTGGTCAAACTCCCTCAAATCTAGGTATCTGGAACTGGCTTTGTTATAGGACCAACTATTATACACCACATTCTTTGCCCAGCACTGGAGATACACAGACCATTAGGGAAAGAGGGCAAGTAAGTTAAGAACTCAGCGAGAAACAGGAGTTTTAACCAAACCAGGTGAGAACTACTGTAGCTGTGAGGAAGTGCAGGGCTCAAATTCCAGAGCAAAGGGAAGCCCAGGGGTGTGAGCCTTTCCCATCCTAACTTAGTTTCACCTAGAGGTCTGTTGATTCACAACGGCAGCAGCTGAGAAGCTGAGCAGAACTTTCAATAGACTCATGGCCTAAGGAAACAAAAAAACTGGACTTCAGGGCCCCTTAAGGAAGAAGAGCCAGAGTAAAACCCCTGACTTTTGGTTGGCATCCTGAAGAACTATAGCCCTCACAGGGACTGAAGCTCAGCTTCAAAACATCCCAATTCCTGACTGGAGTAAGCTCATCTGAAATAGAAGCTTCCAGAGGCAAAGATGAATCCTCTCTAGAGAAAGATCACACTATCCAGACCCCCGATAATATCTACAATCTTTCACATACACTGTGTGGTACTCATTCAAACAGAGCCAGGCATGTGAGGAAACAAGATGTGACCCAAAACCAAGAACAACAGAAGCAGGTCAACGGGGTAGCCAGATACCAGAGTTATCAGATGCAGACTTCAACATACAATGACTAAAACCCGCAGTGAGATAGCGTTATCCATTGACTAGAATAGCTTAAATTAAAAATTTTAACAATACTCAGTGTGAACTTGAAGAATAGTTTCTGTCCTTTTTCTCTGGTTAAGAGAAATAGAGTAAATACAATAAACTGTTAATATATGTTAAATCTAAATGGTAGGTATCTATTATACTATTTTCTGTACTTTTCTGAATTTTTGTTAAATTTTATAATTCAACATTTAAAGAAGAAGTAGAAGGTATGGCTAGAAAGACATCAGCAAGGATTACATTATGTTAGCCTTCAGAAGTTGTGTTCAAGAGTCTGTACTTTCTTCTTTAGACACCAAGAAGCCACTGAAGGGTTTTAAATGGAGGAGTGACAGCATCAGACTTGTTCTCTGTAGAGGTCATTGTGGCTGCCCAGGGCAGAAAGAGGGAAGAAGGGCCCAGCTGGGAGGCTGGTGCCGTCCCATGGATGGGAGATGCCAGTGGCAATGGAAATGTAGGTAGTTGTAAAGATTTGAATGATGGAGTCTGAGTTTTCTAGGAAGTTGGGATTTAGTTCTCCAAACAGACGAATTTTATCCCAGTCAAATCAGGAAGCAAACAAGGTCAGTGTGACACAGAGAGATCTAAAATGAGAACAATTCATAAAGCAAGGACAACATCTAAGATAGAGCCTGGGACTGGGGAAAAGAAGAAAAATGTGAATTTTTCTGTAAATCCTTAGAAGAAACACAAGCAGTTCTAAGAGGGAAAGCTAATAAGCACTCAGCTTGACAACAGATGGTCAGATAGATACATTCACAACTTGCCAGAATTCTGAAGCCTTGTGCACCCCCTTCCAAACATGCAGATGCTTTTATCTGACGGGGGGGGAGAAGAAAATTCTATTTCTGATTCTGACAGTAAATGCCAAGTCACATTTAGCCAGTAGAGAATGGCGTCTCCCAACCACAAACCTACCGAGAACGTCACAACCTTATTCTCATTTTGGAGAGAAGAGTTGTCTCTGACCGCTACTTCTACCAGCCCTGCCAGAAAGTACGAGGGAAATGAGGGGGGGATGACAGTTTCTGAAGAACTCAGCTTTTTCATCTGCACCCAAGAAAGTAGGTTTATGTCTCCAGATTATTCATGAACAGCCCACGTGTTACTCTGTGAAGAAAAATCAAGCATATCAAACAAATTTATCCTCATATTCTGAAAAATGGCCTGAGGCACAGAGTCTGACAACTTCTTCAATTACTCGAGCTGCTTAACCCTCCATTGAGAAGAGATCAAAGAATTAATTTTCTTTACCACGACTCTTTGTGCCTTTTCCAAAGGTTAAAAATTAAAATTGAGCATATTAAGTTCCCAGTCTAGCTAGTTTGGGTATAAATATATATTCTTGGGTCTGACTTATGAATGTCTAGCTTGTTAGAGATAGGATTTTTAAATGGTTCTTTCCCCCCAATCTGTTCACCCGACAAAAAATATTCAGACACGTTCTTTTTAAAGGAAGTACTTCCCACCTACATGCCCATGTAGTGTCTCAATTTTTGTATATTCTGATGGCACGGCTTGGTTTTAGGGGCAGAGTAGAATACTAGTTGTATTCAACATTCTTCCTATACCAGAGTAAGTAAAACTTAGATAAACATGGTTGTCTTAATTCCCAAGGTATAGGATGCATTGAACTGACATACTGCAGAGTTTGGAAAATAATCACTAAATGACTCAACTTCCTGACTCAACATTCACCAGAAAATACCCTTTCTCATTTTCTCTAAATGATGCCCCTGAATCAAAATTTCAGCCAATCAAAACTCAGGCAATTTGCTGCATGATAAATACCATCTAGCAGATCTCACTAGTTATTACTAAAAACATTAATGAATTTTGCATATTTAGGTATCTCACTCTGATCAAATTTGTGATACTGAATATAATTTCTAAAGTTATAGACAGATTCCCTCAAATAATTATCACCGTTGCAATCCAGCAGCACATAAAACGCTCATAGACATTTCTGCACAATGCTTTAAGCTTGAAATAAGAGACATGTGCTTAATATTAATATCCCTTTGGGGGAAATTCCAAGATGAATTTCAAGAGCATACAAATACTCCCCAGAAACACATGAAATTCTTGCCACAGGCTGCCACAGGGATGGAGTATCTCACGATACTCAGTGTGAGTATGATACTTACTGGGTTAAGCGTTTTTTCAACAGAATGGTGAACAGTCCACCAGTCTGAAGTCCATTCCCACGCGTTCCCTACTATATTGTATAAGCCATAACCATTGGGAGGAAAGGCGTCAACCTAAAAATTAAGAAAAGGGAAAATGCTGTCAAACTACTCAAAGTTTAGAAAAGATCTTTGCTGCAGAAATGCACTAAAAGAGCTTTAACTTCAAAGTATGAATATTGATTTTCATCCCGACAGTCAAAATGCAATTTGGCCAATGTGAAAACCAAGAAAGAGACCGTTTTCGGCTTTGAGTCCTCAAGGGGAGTTTAGAAACCTAAGGAGAGTTTGTATTACATGGTAGGAGAGCCAACAAAACTATTCCTAATAGAGAGACTAATAATGACCATAAGCTGAATCTGTATCTGATGGGGGGAGGGGGATAGATGACATTTCAACCCTCAAAAGCATTACAGAAACATCATATTAGACCCAGTGTAAGTCTTGTCATCAGAACTAAGGTATGTGGCCACATAGTGTCTTTTAGCACTGAAAGCCGCTAAGCCACTTCTGTCCTCTCCACCAGCCCACTCCAACTCACTATCTTATCTTTAAGCCTCAGACTTTATCATCAAAACACTGAGGGGACTTGTTTTTCTAAAGAAAATGTGAATTCATTATCAAGCATATTTGTAAGAGAAGGTTTGCAGTCAGTCTCCAGAATCTGGAAGTATGAGCCCAACTGTACTGATTTGCCAGCAAGCAGTTATATCACATTTCAAAGGCAGGTCAGACAATCTGCCACATAATATTGTCACAGACACAGAGCCAAAGTATAAAGCTTTTTTAAGAAGGAGGGAGGGGAGAGGGACAAGAAAAAAAACTTTAATTGAGCAACAGTAAGTACAGACAATTATGCTACTGTGTGTATTCAACTTAAAATGTTTTCCCAATGTTTTTCCAATGGCAATTCTCAAACATAAACAAAAATTTCATTAAAAAAAATCAAGTTACCTAAAAATCTTTTTTTTAAGATTTTATTTATTTGAAAGAGAACACAAGCAGGGGGAGGGGCAAAGGGAGGGGGAGGAGCAGACACCCTGCTGAGCAAGGAGTCCGAAGGGGCTCAATCCCAGGACCAGAGGGAGATCAAGACCTGAGTCGAAGGCAGACGCTTAACCCGCTAAGCCATCGTGGCACCTCTTAAAAATCTTTTTGTAAAAAATAAGATATAAAAATAAAAATATTTTTGTAAATTCATGTTTTTCCCATACTAATGAAGTAGGACTAAAGAAATGAATAAACTAAAATTCACTTTTATTTGGCTTCAGAAGGTTTCAGGTCGACATATGAATATGGAAGCATACTTAGACAATTCAGAGCACTTCCAAGTTATGAAGCTACTCCTTAAAAGAACTTCATCTGGATGAGTTGGAATGCTAAAAAATTTTACCACTCTGCTTCCATACTCAGCACTCATTATGGAAACAGCAGTACTTATTCACTGCTTCATTCAGTAATTCCATGCATGTCAACTGAAGGCAGGATGGGTTCAATGATGTAAGACATCAAAGAGCTTACTGAGGGAGAAAAAAGAATATACCCCAAACAGAAAATCCAATTCTGTAAGACTCTAGGTTGAGTAGGGAAGTGACTGGAAAAAAATGCCTCAGAAATTCTCAAGAAGGACAGGATTTCTGGCTGCAAAGATTTCTGGCTTCGGGCGCCTGGGTGGCTCAGATGGTTAAGCGTCTGCCTTCGGCTCAGGTCATGATCTCAGGGTCCTGGGATCGAGTCCCGCATCGGGCTCCCTGCTCCTTGGGAGCCTGCTTCTCCCTCTGCCTCTCTCTCTCTGTCTCTAATGAATAAATAAATAAAATCTTAAAAAAAAAAAAAAAAATTTCTGGCTTCACCCCTCTCTACAAAGGTAGACATGTCTCGTTGGAATCAAGGTCAGAGTTCAAAATTCAGAGAGACAGTAAAGGCGGAGAGGCCGAAGGCATGAACTGTTCTTTCAAGAATTTGGAGATGATCAGAAAGAGCAAGGTGGAATAATAGCTGGCAGGAATAGGAAGAAAAAGAAATTCATTTGTTCCAGGAAGAGAAGCAAAGGAGTCAGGGGCCCAAGAGCAATTAAAAGAGGAAACAAATATTCTGGAGGAAGGAATCATTTCTCCGGCTCAGAGAACACACAAGTTGAGGGGGCTCTCCAGTCCATCTGGCTGAGATCCTTTTTATGTGCCCACACTTAGCAGCTCATGAACAAGGAACTTAACCTAGCTGGTGGTTTTAAACCATGAAGATGAGGAAATAATAATATCTACTCAAAGGTTTGGGGTTTTCTTCCCCCTTTAAATAATCTGATGTTTAAGTGAAGTAAAATCTAGAGGTCATCAACCCCAAAATCACCGTCTGTGAGTATGCTATTAAGGAGAGTAAACCTTGTTTAAATTAATTGCTCATTGTTAAATTAATTGCACCAACCGAAGTTTCCTTCCAGGAAATTCAAAAGAAAACAAATGTGTATGAGAAATATTTCAAACCCACTTATTTTCAAGTGAATGAACTGATATGCATTAAAACCAAAACACACTAATAGTTGTATAATAGCAGCTTAGCAAAATGAAAATCCAATTCTTTAGATTCACTGTGGTCAGAATAGTGTGCTCAGTCCAGACCAGAAGTAATAACATACATAAAATACAGGTGAGGATGCCGTTTCACTGCAATCCACCCCATCACTGAAAAGAAATTCCTTCCCTCAAATGACCAGAGCTTGTAGACACAAGAGCAGCTAAGGTGGACGTGAGATAATTCTCTGGGAATTTTAGTCCCATTTTGTTGAGTCCCATTTTGAAGATACAGATCTTGTTATGTCTCAGTCAAACACAGGTGGAAGTTGCCTCTGTGGTCTGCTGTTTCTTTCGCTCCAGGTCATGTTTCTCAAATTAGTTCTGGGAGGGCCTCTGGTACCTGTTCTAATTTTGTCTTAGGAACTTCCACGGCAGCTTCTTCAGGTAAGTTCTGTTGAATATATTCCAATATACAGACATCTGCTGCACTCCCAGTTAAATGTTCCAACACTAAACATCTATAAAATGTCCTTATTTCACAGGGAACTCTGTGTTTTCTGAAAAGGGGCCCTGACTTAAGGATAAACGACTATTTTCCTTGGAGGCTCAAGTGCTTAAATAGAATATGAAATTCTATAGGAGTAAGCACTGTAAAATATTGATACTGTCCAATCCAGCCTTCTCATGGCCCTTTACTAAAACTGACAGGTGCTTATATAATTTGGTATATCAGAAACCCACACCTTAGGATTCAAGGCTTGCTGTAGTGGCCCTCCTTCCAACAGCCTAGCATCCAGGAAGGAAATCGAGGCTGCTGAGGCCCCTATCGTGCCAGTCTCTCTTGTGTGTTCACTGCAAAAGAAGGCCGGGTATGGGCCTGACACTCTGTGCCATCCACGTTCAGGTGAGTTGCTGCACACTCCTTACCAGTGTGGAACACTTCAATGGCCACAGTCCTGCTGCATCTACCAACAGCTTTCGGGGGGTCTCATGAGCATCCTCACCGAGCACCATAACTGATACTCCGTTTCATCCTGCAGGGCCAGTTCTGCTGACCAAAAGTGGCTCATGAGGCACTGACTGGGCTTCTCACCCATGTAAAGTCTGAGAAAGGGTGAAGCTCCTTTAGTCCCTGAGACCTCGAATCACTCATTTTGCAGAATACAACTATGTGCTTGCAAAAGTACCAGCTATTGGGAAGGAAACTCTGGAGGAACCAACTTTGAGATCAAATGATTAGTCTTTGACTCCATTGGGTAGTGCATCATTTCCCATTGGTTTGTATTGGTTCTTTTATCACATGCTTAACACATACATATGGAGTTTCATATGCACACATATGCACCCCTCTACCCATTGGAAGGATACCTATTCTCATGCAATATATTATTTACATTAATTGCCAAAAAATGAAACTATAATGCTTTAACTACTATAGCTCAAAACATTTTTAGATTTCTGCTAGGTCAAGTGTCTCCTCATTCTTCATCTTTTCAAAAATGTCTTGGTCTTTCTCTCTCACTACTTTATTATTTCAGCCAAAGTTTTAGAGTCATTTGGCCATCTTCCAAATAATGTATCTGGGTTACTTTTTTTTTTTTTTAAGATTTTATTTATTTATTTGACAGAGAGAGACACAGCAAGAGAGGGAACACAAGCAGGGGGAGTGGGAGAGGGAGAAGCAGGCTTCCCGCTGAGCAGGGAGCCCGATGCGGGGTTCAATCCCAGACCCTAGGATCATGACCTGAGCCGAAGGCAGATGCTCAACGACTGAGCCACCCAGACGCCCTTGTGTTACATTTATAAGTAAATTTTGGAAAAATTATTTTTGTGTGAAACAAAAATACAAATATGAAAAAATAATGACAGCTGTTTGAAAGAGTGTTGAAAAAAAAATTATTCTCTGCAACAACAAACCCAGTAAGGTGCTATTTACCCACCGCAAGATTTCTTTTCTCACTATTAAGAGAAAACAACATGTTTTTAACACTGCTTCATTAGTGTATGATTTTGCCAGCAGAAGAGCAATGAAAGGAACTCTCATACACTTGTGGAAGGAAACAAGCCACATATGCACTCTGGAAAACAGTATATCTCTAAAACCTTTACCAAGAAAGTTTTCTAGTTTTTGACTCATTAATTTCATTGCTGGGAATCCATCTTAAGCAAATCATCAGAGATACAATTTAATATTAATGTACAAGATGCAATATTGTTTAGCAAAAAAACAAAAAAATAAAACAAAACAAAAAAAAACTGTAAAAACACCCCAACAGATAAAACCTAAATGCGTGACTTTTTAATAAGAGGCAAATAAATTAGGACTCATTCAAATGACAGGTTATCCATCTATTAAAAGACAATATATTTGTGAAAAACTGTTAATGACAGATATAATATTCCTGATATTAAGCAGGGAAAAACAGGATTTTAAGTATTGCATTCAGCGTGACCCTGAAGCAACATGTAAAAAATATGTAGCTGCAAAAAAAATGTACGTATATACATGTATATGTGTGTATATATACATATATATTTATACATTCCATATATATGTGTGTGTGTATATGCATATACATGTATATGTATTTATACATTTCACATATGGGAGTTAAGAGCATGCGCTCTGGAAACAAACTGACCCAGTTCAAATCCCAACTGTGCTGCTTTTCAGCCGTGTAACCTTGGGCAGGTTAGTGCTCACCTGGAAAACGAGGGTAAAGTAAATGGCACCTACCTTACAGAGCTAAATTCACATTAAGTGAGATGAGTCACACAAGCGGCTTACCACCAGGCCTGGCACACGCAAGCACCCACTAACGACTAGCTGTTATTAGCATTGTGAACACAGAAAAGAGTGGGAGGAAAGGTACCAAAATGCTAACAGGGGTGATCTCTGGGGGGGGGGGGTGGCAAAATTCCAGGTCCTTTTAATTTTCCCTTTTGTACTCTTCCTGTTTTCCAAAGTTTCTATAAGTATGACGGAATCAGAAAGAAAACCGGGTTATAAAAAGAACATGTGACTAATCAGTAGGAGCTGCCACGTGCACGAGGGGATGAACGCACGAAGAGGGCAGCAGACTGGTCAGGGCGGGAGCCATGCCTTCCCCCTTCCCAAGTCTCGCTACTCACAGGGGCAGTTCCTCGGAAGCCGTCCTCCCCGGTGTTGGTCACAGGAAATTCGCCCTGCCAAATGTTGGCATAATGCTGGCCTTTCGGCTGTAGTTTGTTGCCCCAGGGGAAAAGTCTGTCAGAAGAGACACAGGCATCAACCTGTCAAACAGGCACAGGCCTCTGGATTAAAGTCAAGAGAAGGAATGCACAGAAAGAGAGAGCACTGCTCACTTGTTCTCAGTGAGCTGTGTTCACATTTCAAATATATAAACAAACAAAGCTTTTAACCAGGACCTTTTTTTTTTTAACTTCCGCACAACTAGCTCGTATCAAATTCACAACAAGCTCCGTGTTTCCCGAGTACTCAAGAGGCCTGAAATAAATCACGTAACTGAGAGAAGGACTTATCGAAGGCTGGGAAAGTAGGCATCATTCTGGACTCATATGGTAGCACAATCAGCCAGCATCACACCACACTTTTTTATAAAGCCTCTGCTATTTTAAGGAGCCTTTCCTAGAAGATGTGACCCAAACATGAATTTTCTGTCTCATGGCTCTAGAAGCAGAGAAATACCACTGCTTCAGGAGATGTCTAAAATAAGAAAATCCTAAAAGCAAGGCAGCCTGCCAAAAGGCTCTAAGGAGGACTATGTAAGAACAGAGGGGCTGAATGCGGGGAGCACTTTGGGGCTGCAGGGAGCCCGCTTCACCAGACACTGGGTGACCCACGCATCAGTGTCTCCTAAGTAAGTCCACGGAGATGAAGAAAGCCTAGGAAGAAAAAGCTGTTATTTTTGTTTAAAATCAACTTTCTAGCCAAAATAAGTTCCCCAGATTTAGAAAAAGGTCCACACACAGTTAGGCAAGATAAGACCCTCCGAGTACCTATTTTGCAGGCCTCCTCGACAGCTGTATTCCCACTCAGCTTCTGTGGGCAGACGCTTTCCTGCCCATGTGCAGTAGGCAACGGCATCATTCCAGGAGACGTGGAGGACCGGATGATCAGGCCTGGGAAAGAGCAAAGGCAGAGTGAGGAGGGGCATGGACTGTAACAGGAAAACAGGAACCAGCTCCAGCAAAGCACCCAGAATCCCCCTCAGTTCAGTCTGGGACGCTGAGGTGGTCCTGGTCCCCAACTCAAGCCCCAGCTGTGCCACATCTGTCACCTTCCACCGCAGGTTTCTGACATCCCAGGCTCAAGTGGGCCTTGGAACTAGACTCAACACATTTCTTCACTTGCGGGCAGGCCCAGACCCCCACAGAATCTCACTTGGTCCGGTGGATGTGGAGATGCACCACGCACATCGCCCTTTCAGGAAGGAGTGCTGCTCCAGCTGCTGGGAGTGCTCCCTCAGGGTTTTCCACAGCTGTGGAGAGCCACCTCAGAACCACCAATGACCACCACAGCCGGCACACAAAGGCCCAGCCGTTTCGGCCCACCACAGCTCCAGCCTATTTACCCCAAAGCCCCCTAAGGGATCAGTGGGCACTTCTTGGACCTGCACTATAGTCTTGGCTTCTCCCTCTGGCCAGTCCTGCTTCCTCCCCCTCCTCTGCACAGGTTGCTTGGCTTTAAACTTCGTGCCTTTCTACTGCAGATAAGCCGGCTATATTTGCCTCATGCTAGCAGATTCCAAATTACTATTTTCTCTAAGCGCATAGAAAGACAAGGAGCGTTGGGGAAAAGTTTGAGAATAAGGGGAAACACACATTCGCATAGCACTAGAGAGCTTTAATTCGCCGTTCACGCTTTTTCAAGCGGACTACACGCTCCTAGTCCATTCCTGAAACATCTTCGAATTCCCTAGAGCAATTCCACCATGACTTTCATTTATTCTTTCAATAACTGTTTATTGAGTACCTGTTATGTGTCAGTAACTGTTTTCAGCAATGATCAGAGATGCACTTTTCTAAGAAAATGGACTCAGTCAGTGGATAAAATACATTCCCCTCTGGGTTTTCCTTCTGCCTCAGCTTTTTGTTCTATTAAATTCATGAAAGAAAATGTCACTTGGGAGCTAAGAGGCCTGGTCGACATGAGGTACCCAAGAATCCTAGGACTGCCTGTCTCACAGTCTGTTGCCACCACAAAGGCTGCCAGCTTGGGCTTTGCAAGGTTTCTGTCCTTTGTCAAGGGACCACAGCCCCAAAGCTGAACCTCACGTTCACTCGGCTCCCTGGCAGCGAGCGCAGTAACCAGCAATGTTGTCAAAAATAGAGGCTCAAAACTCCCATCTGAAAAAGTGGGTTAGGAGAACAGTTTTCTTGGGCTGTCGAGATGCTGAGTCCTGACCCAACCTTTCTCCATCTCTGGGGCTTAAAGTGCTTGCTACTCTATTTTTGTTTGAGATCATTATTTCCTTGCCACCCTGGAGACTTTCTGACCGACTTGCAGCTCTGTGGTTTTTCAGTCAGATGGTGGCTTCAAATTATGTCAGTCCAGGACTGGAGATAACAAGAATCCTATACCCAAGGCTGGAGCTTCCACAGTGACCACCTGGCCAGACACAACTACTTATCCATAAGACAGATCGTCTTCTTCCTCATAGTGACCCGCTCATGAGAGAGAGCAAATAGGTTGCAAAGATTAAATATGTCAAGAGATTTGTAATAGGCCTGTCAAAGGGAGAAAAAAATCTGCAACAGCAACTCTTTGACAGGCCAAATAAGGAAGGAAGAAGCCACTTAGTAAGAGCCTTCTGTGAGTTAGGGTCTTCACATACGTTATTTCCTGCTATTTTATTTTCCTACCAACCAATTAGAATTTGTCATTCTCACTCTTTGGAATCTATTTGGCAATTAAACATGTCCACTGGGAAAAGAACCACCAGCCTCACCTGCGTAGAACAGTAGAGTCAGGCCCTTCTGGGTGTCTCCAGTTAGCGCCTTTAACAGGTAACCACCAGGGAGCAGCTGCAACCTCAAAGCAACCCAAAAAAGCTGAGGTTAGCTATGATGACCCTAGAAAAACACTGACTCAGTATGTACAGGAAAAAAAAAAAATCTCATGATCTTCAACTTCCATTTCAGTTACCAAACAAATACTTTTACCAGAATATCAAAAATAAAGATTTATATGTAAGTAAATCTTCAATGAAAGAGTATTCTTTCATATCATAAAGCACCACAATGACTAGATATATGTTTAAATGGTATCTCCAAGAAGTTTTATTTTTTAAGGATTTATTTATTTATCTTAGAGCAGAGGAGGGGAGAGGGAAAGGGAGAGAAAGGATCTCCAGCAGACTCCCCCATGAGTGCAGAGCCCTATATGGGGCTCAATCTCGTGACCCTCACATCACGATCTGGGCCGAAATCAGGAGTTGAGACAATCAACCCCAGCGGAGCCACCCAGGCACCCCTCCAAGAATTTTTAAAACATGCAGTGCTAGCTAATCCACTATAATCTCTAAGAAGTGAGAGACAGGTTGTACTGCTCCTATTTAAAAGATGGGGAAACAGAGTTAACCTTACAATTAAGTGCTGGGCTGAAGATCAACTAAGGTGGTCAGATATCAAGCTGAAGCACAGGGTAAAAAGCTGGAGTGTGTTTTCAAAAGACCCTCGTTCAATTTCCAGCCCAACATCAGCTGTGTAGCCCTGAGCAAGTACACTGCTTGTCTGGCTCCTGAGAGTCCTCATCTGTGAAATGGGAGCAGGACTCCTGCCTCACCTACCTCAGACTACAGAAGAGGTTGAATTCAACAGGACTGGGAAGTGCTCAGCCAAATGTTCCCAGGACCTTAACTCCTACTTTACAGTTCTAGTAACCCAAATAACACGAGCAAGTGGCCCTCATTTAGTGACTGGTTAAGAACTTGGCTTTGGAGCCAGTCAAAACAAGATTTACATCACTCACGGTGTGAACCTTGGCAACCTACTGAACCTCCCCAGGTCTGTTTTCTCATGTTTAGATGGAGATCATAACAATGGCCACCTCATGGGTTATGACAAGGAAGAAATATACATAAAGGGCTGACAAGTATACCTAGCACTAGCAAGCACACAGTAAAGAGAACTACTCTCAACCATGGCTTCATGACAGGAGAGCCATAAAAAAATCTTCATCATCGCTGTAGCTAATACTAACTAAAGAACAGAAATTTGCAAATGACTCTTGTAATATCTACTACAGTAGACTCAAGGTTATCCCCATGACAATGCTACTGTCAATCATTTGCATCCTGATGAGCTGGGTTGAGTGGAAGAAAAGGGGGATGGTGTTCCTGCTAACAATTACAGCAATCACTGAAAACACCAAACTCTATTCTTGTTCTTTTCTTCACATCAGTACAATCAAAACATTCATGGTATTCCAATCACAATTTGATGGGAAAAAACAAATTCTCTTATAGTTCAATGAAAAGAGGCATAATGTCCTTAAGGACACCACTGCAAGGTGTTCTATTTTTCAGAGTCCAAGAGAGGAAAAAGGCACAGCTTATTTCTATTTCATCCGGGGATTTTCTCACTGACTAGACTGCTGGATGTTTAGGGCCCAGTGACAGGTAATTCATTCCATGCCAAGGGAAAATGTGCATAGAAAGCCCAGGTTATCTCACTCTTGTGTTTCAGTATCTTCAGATCGCTCACCCAACCCCAACCCACCCCAACACTTATCAGATGGGCCACCAGAAGGTTCTATGTCTTAAAATAATAAAAGAACTAAAGACAAATATGGCGAAATGTTAACCTTTGTTAAATCCGGGTGGTAGAAAGTAGAATGGCTGTTTTTCTTATACACTTTGTGTTTTGAAACATTTCATCAGTAGCAATTTAAAAAAAAAAAAAACTGATTTATCAATCTCTTCTACTACTGATGGGCATTTGGGTGTGTTCCAGTTTGGGGCTATGACAAATAGTGCTTACTTCTATGAACATCCTTAGGAGCTCATTACTTTTAGCAAGTATAAACATGCATTTCTGTTGACTGTACACCATGGAGTGGAAATGCTGAATCACAGGGTCTGCATAGGAACAGTTGTAGTGAAGACGGCCAAACACAAGCTTTAATGGCCCATGTGTTCCAAGGTTTCCTACCCCTTCTTCAGGGGGGACCTTACATGGAGCTGGATGATGTAAAGCAGACCCCGGTGGGGCTGCTCCAGCGGCCTCCCTTTTCCTCTCCTCTTCCCCTCAATTCACTCTGGTTACAAATATTTGCTGAGTACTCACTATCTGCCAGCCACTGAGTCTGATTCCTAAAAGAGATCTTCAACTCCCAGGAATCCATAGAGTATGATTTAAGACAGTATATTGATAGTGTTTAAATTATTTATTTTACATATTTATCTTACATGGTTAATTGCACAAAGTTGGGAACAAAATACGGAGCTAGTCACTTCATCTTCCTTCAAAAATGTCTACAAAACTCCAATTGGTGGGTGTAGGTACCACCTTACACATGCTAGTGCTATAGTTCTGGCTCAGTTTCCTCCCCACTACACATACACACTTTCTCTCATTTTAGATATCTGCTTTCATTTCTCCCAGGATTCCTCTTTTCTGAAATCTTTCACATGATCTTAACAACCCATCCCAAACAGACCACCAGCTTACATGACTTGAAGTTATGGGGCTACACAATGATCAACAATCTCAGTGATGTGTGCAGTGAGACAGGACAAACAGACTGGCTCGAGATCGGGGGGGGGGGGGGGGACACACACCGCAGTAACACTGTCCTTGTCCAAAGGCCACAACCTAGTTTCTCTCCAAGATATTAAGACCTGAAGTAAGTATGCAAAAGATATATCTACAGTATTATAATATTATTTCTAATTAAAAATTACAAAATAACCCATCCTTGGCATCCCTCCTTCCAAAGGAATACTATACAGTTATCAAAAGACACTCCAAAGTGGAAATAATGTATATAATATGTAATGAAGATAACCTATAGAATAGAATATGTATTTGATTCTGGTTCTGTAAAATATATGCACATGAATGTATGGTAGTATACTCAGAAGGAAAAAGCTTGGAAGAATATACTTGCACTTACAGGAGTCAAGACTAGGGGAGTAATATACTTTTTAAGATTGACCGTATATTAGTATAATAAGAGTTCTCATCTTCATAACTACTGACATATTAGGCCAAATAATTCCCTGTCTCAAGGGGCTGTCTTGTGCACTGTACAATGTTTAGTAGCATCCCTGACCTCTTCCCAGTAGACGCCAGTAGCACCATCCCCCACCTAACTGCAGCAGCCAAAAGTGTCTCCAGACATTGCCAAATGCAGAATAACCACTGCACTATGATAATCAGGAAAAAAAAAAGACCGTCTTTCTTAATTGTTAATATATAGTTCATAGAGGCATAGTGGTAAGCACATCCAAGCCTAGAACCAGGCTACCTGAGCCTGAAAAACAGTACCACCTTTTACAAGCTGCATGATCTTGGGCTTCTTAGTTAACCTTTCTAGGTCTGTTTCCTCATCTGTAAAAAATGGGACACTAACACTTCTCTCTACCTCCCTGAGTTGTTGTGAGGATTAAATAAGGAAATACACATAAAGAGCTTAGAACAGTACCTGGCACAAAATAAGAATATTACTATTATTTATTTATGTTATTGCATGTTGCAATATTCTCTTAGAACTTTCAAAGAACATACATTCTAATCAGTGAAAATCTGTCCCCTAATACTTCTTCAGCATGGGCCCCAGTCAACTCTTGGCTCACCCTTTTCAGAAGAAAGATAGGCTGAGAAAAGTATTAGAACATCTGTCATTTCCAAAGAATTGTCAAGAAGAGTGTATAGTTGTCATCTTCCATCACAATCATGACGTGAGAACCATCTACACATAAACTAACCCACCACATAACTACACATAACTAACTACACATAAACTAAGCAGCACCACAGAGCGGGACAGGGGAAGGGTGTGAGGGGTGTAGCAGATGCCAGAGGAATCCACATTCACCAAACACTAAACCAGACAAAGCTTTGGGACCTGTATACCACATGCCTGTCTGTGAAGAAGACCATAAGTCCCCACTGTAATGATCAGACAACCAGTCAGGAACTATTTCCCCATCTGACACATGATGAAAAAAAAAAAAATAGGTAATCAAAGTCACCCCACAAGAGGACTGATGCGATCAGAGGTAGGACATCATTCATCCTGGGAATCAGCCCTTAGGAAAGCCAGGATGTTTCCCAGCCCAATTTATGGCACATCCCATCCAATGTCACCAGGTGCCTTCCTTTTCCAAATGTCACTGTTAACGCTATGTTTTTAAAAACTTGTTCTTAAACTCCTGGTTAGTGTCTTGAAAATAAATGCTATCCTACTATGTTTAGGAACTTATGAAATAAAATAACTTTTTAAAGTCACATATGAGCCAGCGAATCAGGGTCATACTGCAAATCAGAATAGCTCTAGTTCCTTGGCTTTAACAGGACAAGTCTTCCAGTGTGCTGCCTGAGAGTGGACTGGCGTCTATGATAAGCCTCATCCTACAAAGAGAACATTTTTTTTTTTTTAATGTGGCTGCCCACCTACACATTTTCTATTCAATTGAGACAATTCCAGAGTTACAGCACTCTCTTATATCCAGGGGAAAAAGGACTTTAACTTGACCTATTTCTAGTCAACCATCTCCATAGCAACTGTCTTGGGTTTTAAGCTGAAACAGCTGTACCAGACAGCCAGTGGCCAATTACAATGTAAATAGGATCCATGTGAGTATTGATGTCCCCTTGAGAAATGGACTTCTCAGAGCAAAGACGGCTTTTCTCACCTCTCCCTTGGGGACATAACCAGACTTGTAGTAACAGTTTAACGAAGAGAAATGGAGAATATATCAAAGGTATCTTTATTCTTGCCAGAGGTGGTAAATTATGCTTCTTATACACACGCAGCCTAGAATAAAGTCGGCACAGGAGAAAGATAGAGCACTGTGTAATTATGCA